TGACTTAAGCAAATAACAAAATTACTAAAACTTCATCTAAAATGAATATGAAAACTGAAAATATAAATAAGACGTATTTCGTGATTGACTGATGTATTGCGGATTAAAAAAGAACATTTAACGAAAAAAAGAATATTGGCCAAGATTACAACTTGTTAAAAACCAGAATGGAGCCAGGTGGTTGGAGGAGGAGGAAAAGTGTTGGTGTCAGCCAAAAAAGAGGTGGAGCCTACATTTCGATGAAGATTATGCACACAAACATTTTTATTTGTTAAAACATGTGCCGATTAATCATGCACAATAAGACCAGGAACGGATTAAGAAAGTAAACTGCATTCATGTTGACTTTACACACCCACTTCGTAAGCTTCCAAAAAAAAAAAAACATTTTAAAGAGATAGAAAAAAAAAAAGAAAATTCTGTCATCATTTACTTCCCCTGAAGTGTGTAATTGATGACAGAATTTTCATTTTTCTGGTGAACTATCCTTTAAGTCTTCCTGAAATCTGATATATACATATTCAGTCATGATGCTTCTTTGTAGCTACTTTGAATAAAGAAAATCATTATCTTCAGTCTGAAGGCTGCGTGACCAAAGCAATAGTCTAGATTGAGACCATCAAGAAAGCAAGTAGCCAAACTCTCCAGGCACCACTGGAGAAACTGGCCGCAGCCAGCTCCACAATGCAATTTCCTTTCGCAAACGAGGGAAAAATGTCAGGCAGCTGTTTCCAGCCGCAGAGAGCTGAGAAGAAGCGGAGTCAGAATCAGCCAGACAAAAGCAAAAGAGCAAAATGATGCGTGAGACACATGCGCTTGGTTAGGCCCGAACTGAGCGTTTTATTAGCGAGCCGCATGAAGTTGTCTGATGTAACCCAGGGGTCTCATCTCCTGATCCATCTCCACGCACAGCCCGCCATCCTGTGTGCTAAGCTTCTGTTAAAGCCATCACTGCACGGTTATTACAGCGCTGGCACGGCCTACACCTATGACATCATTATGCGCTACCCGTCTGAGAGCGTGTGTCTGAGGGAGGGGAGATGGTACGAGCAGACATAACCTCACATTGAGCTAAATGTGCACCACAAGCAGTAGCACACAGGAAATCAAAGGCGGAAGTGAGTGAAGGAGAGTTACATCACTGATTGTATGATGTATGCTGTCAGGAAAGTTATAAACACGTGTAAAAGAGAGGCTGTGACTGTCAGAATATCCTTTTTCCTATTTGTTTTTTTTTTTAAATAAATGACTGCTGGGGAATTTTTTTTTTTTTTCAGGCTGCATTGATACCTCTATGACGGAGGAAACACTTTCAACCTGTGTGACTCTAATCAGTACCATAGCGTGAAGTCGAAGGCCTCTTTTCCTGAGTGGAGAGCTCTCTACCAGACACACACTTTGATGTTCCTTTATCTGTCGAGCGGGACAGACAGAGCCCAGCACATGCTGTCGTCCGATAACCACACAAATGTGACTCAAAATGTTATGCTTTCCCACAAAGTAAAAACAGTGAGAGGAAATCTGGCCGAAGTTAAAGAAGACTGCCGGCAAGGCTCTAAAACTGACCTCGGACCCACCCTGGGATGGTCAGTCTTTCCATCATCGGTCCAGTATGGAGAAAATTAGGTCACTTTGTTGTTAAACTACAACTATTTGATCAATAAATCAAAAAATTCTAAATAAATTCTGTAAAAGAATGCCCTAGTAACCACCCAGAACACCTTATAACTGACTAGCACCCTCATCACAGTTTTAATATGTACATTATAAACTTCACAGCATATCCTAACTGAGTCTATTAGTACATTAATTAAGAATAAAATCAATTTAGTAGCCTATCTATCAATCTGTTATTAAACCGCAAACGCAAATCAACAGACTAAAAAAAACTACAAAGACTGTTTAACAGATTCCGGCGGGCAATGTTTCCAAATGTTACGATGTTATGATTCAGTTACTGTATTACATAAACCCGCCCGATTGCCTCATAATGTCAGATTCACAATGACAGATGAGTGTGTAAGTGTGTGTTCAACACAACTGTCTGCGAAAAACCCACACCAGTCGCTGGATGGAGAGAGAGAGAGAGAGAAGGAGGCGGATCTTTCACCATCTCTCGCTCGTAGGAGTTTTGGGGAAATTCAGAAAATGCTGCGCTCTATGAGGAGATGAATTACATTACACCCCTCACTAAATTACGCTCTTTGCCTGTATGCCAATTTACCAAACAAAACTTTTGGGATGTAAAGTGAATGTTGTGCCTGTGTGCCCGTTTCACCACCATGCGAAATTTCACATCATTTATCAGCGCTCGTGAAGCTTCAGAGACAAAAGGACTGAGGAGAAGAGAAGCGTGCGAGTAACAAGATGGGGGTGGCAGTAAAACATTTGGGAAAGTCATAAAGCTTCTGACATACGGAACATATCAAAGAAATGTCAACACGTCCCTTTAGCTCAACTATGCGATGTAGTGATCTGTTGATCACTGTGAAGTTTGAGATGCTAAACACTACCGTTAGGAACACGGGAGAAAAACAATAATAGTTATTTTAAATGAAGGAAACTATGAAAATTATGATTAAAACATGGTAAGTGAAAACAAACTTGACATTAAGTAAATATTTTAAACGCGTAAGTAAAAGTTTTAAATATATTTATAAAGTAAAAATACACTAGGCTATAGGCTACTGTATATTTTGACCGCATACTCACCAAAACAATGGCAAATCTTTCCTCTAGCTCTGTTGGGTCAGGCATGGGAACTTTCAAGGGCATGATATGATGCTTCATCTCCGATTGCCCGTCCACGCTCTCAATATTCCCCATATTTTACTTTTATAATGTCGTCCAGATGCAGGATTCAGATGCTCTGTGTCCAATTCACTCTTTGCCTCCCGGCGCCCTTTATAAATCCAATATAGCCTACATCCAATACGTGCGATCACATTCCACTTTTGTTTGGTTTTGTTTAAAAAAAAAAAGTTCAAAAAGATAAAGTGATACGTTTCAGAACCGATTCCTAATCGGCATGAATGTTAAAAAATGATGAGATATCTAATGTCTTAGATTTAAATCATCTAAGTGAATAAAAAGTATCACTCTGATGTCCTCTTAAAAAGTATTGTATTGCCATGTCTGGACAATCCATGTCAAGCGGCCAGTTCTCTTGTTTCTTCTTTTTCTGTTGTTTCTCTTCTCTTGTTTATGCTGTGGATTTTTGTTTATGATGTATTTTGGGTGATCCCGATTAGTGCTCATCTGTTAACTCGCTGCGTCCACAATGAAAGCTATCGACATGCGACTGATCCCACCCTCCACCAATTCTACAAACTGCACATCGCTAGCGTGAAGTTGAATGACTGGGGTTTTCTGTCGCCATCTCCTGGCGGAACGCTGGAACTACAGCATTACTAATTGGGAATCCCAGTAGCCCCCGCTGTGGCATTTTAATGACTTTATTCATGACTGTTTGGCTTTAGCTGAGCCTACAACTATTTTCTTTCGGAACAGTGAATATCACAGCTGTTTATTATTCTTAACATAATTGGCTAATTCATTATGAATAAAGAAACTGAATAATTTAAATATATACCGAAGGCATGTTGAATCTCAACATCAAAAAAATAAAACAAATCTGTTTAAAGTGCAAATGGCATATTTATTAAAACTGCAATACAGGCTCTGGTTAATAGGGTGCAGAAGCACTACATTTCTCTACGCCTGTGTCTTTCTCAGGAGGAACTAGTTCTGTACTTCAAGACAAAACTCGAGCATTTTTGTAACATTTTTGAGCATGTCTCTCAAGAGTACTTACATTTTAAATATTCATGCTGCGTTTTGGTTCAAACATACATACATAAAATATATATTTTAAATCTTTGGGAAAAGATTGACACGCGACTGACACGTTTTTGATATGTGTAAAATGAATAGTCTAGTCACAAACACGAGGCTAAAATATGTTAACCAAAGATATAAAGAAATGTTCAGATAATAACTAAACACTTATTAGATTTCAAAGAGGAAACAATAAAAAAAGGATTGCTTCTTCATCGACTTCCTTTTAAAAAAAAAAAAAAAAAAAATAAAAATATTAAATTAATTATGTATTAGAAAATAATTATGGTCTAAACATACTTAAAACATGATACTTTTACATGAAAAGCAATAATTATGTAAGGGCTTATACACACACACACACACACACATATACTGTTATATTAAAGATACATTAATCATTTTTGGTTTCAAGCAAACATAACTTAATAGTTATTTTATATTTTATTAAACATAAAATGTATACATTTAACTATATACTAAGAATATTTACTATATTATATTATAGAATATTTACATTTTTGTTCATAATTTGTTTTATTATTTATACATATACAGTGCCTTGCAAAAGTATTCACACCCCTTCATTTATTTCATGTTTTGTTATGTTGCTGCCTTATGTTAAATTGCTTTAAATTACTTTTCCCCCCCACATCATTCTACACTCTATACACCATAATGGTAAAGCAAAAAACAGGCTTTTAACATCTTTGCAAATTAGAAAATAAATAAATAAATAAATAAATGATTCCATTGCATAAGTATTCATAGTATCAAGTATATCTGGGACAGTTGAAGTTTAGCTCAGGAGCATTCATATTGTTTGTAGATGTTACTACACTTCAAGTGAAGTTAACCTGTGGAAAATTCTATTAAATGGGTATGATCTGGAAAGGCACACACATCTTAATAAAAGGTCTAACAGCTGAAAATGCATATCAGAGCAAAAAC